TAAGATATTAATTAGTGAATGACACAGGGGACTTTTAAGACCTGTTTATTAAAAGCGTGTTTCTCTCCTCTATACAGAAACTTTCGACTGTTAACTGTGCGCTGGGCATTGACTGTATGGTAGTAAAGAATTTCATTCAAACGAGTCTGACATAGCCAAACAAAATAAGTTTATACTCTCATTAAAGCCTCACGAGAACGTGCAGTTTGTGAAGCTACATATAGGTATGACCTCTCTGGCCAATCAGTTTCAAGGTATTTCCACCAGCTTCAATTTATCGTATGACAGACACATTATATAACGTTTGATTTTTGGTCTCCAGTGGTCCAACTGTAAGTCTGAAGAGTTACAATGATAACACCAGGTATCAATAGCTGTGGTGGGCACAGCACAGATAGCCCATTGTGTAGTTTTGTTTGTTTGTTCTATAGCAAAGCCACATTGGACTCTTTGTTGCGTCCACCGAGGGGAATCGAACGCCGAAATTCAGCGTTGTAAGTCTGAAGAGTTACAATGATAAACACCAGGTATCGATACCTGTGGTGGGCACAGCACAGATAGCCCATTTTGTAGTTTTGTTTGTTTTATAGCAAAGCCACATTGGACTCTTTGTTGCGTCCACCGCGGGGAATCGAACGCCGAAATTCAGCGTTGTAAGTCTGTAAATTTACCACTGCGCCATCGAGGGACGAGTAGCTTCGTGCTTAACAATAATCCAGATATATCTTTTAGTCTTTAACCATAAAGAACCTTGAAACGAGTGTAAAGACAAACAATGTTTTATTTTCAATAATAACTATACTATAGAGATTTGTTGCGTTTTTTACTTGTTAAAATTTAAGTATTACGTTAGAGTTCATGAAGGGGGAAAATTATAAAAAAAAAGTTTCATTTGCACCAAAATTAATACTTAAAAAAATAATAGAGGTGTGAATAATAAATAAAAGTTTATGTCAATTCAACTTCCTTACCTCATGACGTTGAACAGCGACACCTAGTGACCGGGAGTGACATCAATAAAATGTATCGAAGACCAATGTGGGTTTATGTTGATCGATTTTAGAAATTATACAAAATCTAATTTTTCTTGTAATAATAATAATATCTAGATACAAATAGCTCAATGACGTAGTAAGCACACAAATAAGTTTCATATCCTGTGTCCGCGGGCCCGGTGTTTAGGGCGCTTTACTCGTAATCTGAGAGTTGCGGCTTTTCAGCCGTGGGGCGTTATAAGTGACGGTTAATCTCACTATTTGTTGGTAAAAGAGTAGCCCAAGAGTTGGCAGTGGGTGGTGATTACTAGCTGCCTTCCCTCTAGTCTTTCACTGCTAAATTAGGGACGGCTAGCGCAGATAGCCCTCGTGTAGCTTTGCGCGAAATTCAAAACAAACCAAACCTATAGTCGTGACATCAATAAATCTGACTGACTATTCACAATATCCCGTTACCTTATTACCATCTTTTATAGGCTATATAATAATATTTAAAATTAAAATAAACTACATTGGGAAATAAGTAGGAATACGACTTTGATTTGGTGAGATTAAGTAGCCATTACATTGGTTTTACCCACGTCTTTCAAGATCTGTGATATCGTCGTACTCAACAGGTTCATAACGAACTTTGAGACTAACAACCTAAAAAATATCTAATGTATTAAATTACACACATACAACGGTGTACTGTGAAGTGTTATAAGTGCAACAGTCAGTCCCATTATTAAGTTAATATAGCTGTTACTGTCAGTTATAAGTGCAACAGTCAATTCCATTATTCAGTTAAGAGTAGCTTCGGGTACTATTAACTGGTACGTTCTCTCTGGTCAATATTTCTAGATTAGCGATGGTTATTCCTGAACATTAGAGGTCTCTGTCTGACCTGGTCTTGTAACCCTTTTATTATATTTTAAGCAGTGGATGAGTTTTAAAGTGTCAATCAATCCCTTAGAGTAGATTTGTGGGTGGTAGGGTGCTGCTTTCCCTCTAGTCAGTAATTCAAAATTAGGGACGGCGGAATATAGCCTTAAGTTTGACATAAATATACTGTTGCGTCAGCGAGGTCACGTGACTAGTATCACGCCACGTCCTTCTCGAACCTTCATGAATGCCCTAGCATTTACTAGACACGTGTTAGTCTTGTGTATACAAGACGTTCACAACGTGACGGGACAACAGTGTATTGAGTAACTGAATGTATGCTGACAGAATATTGTTGGCCACGTGAGACGCGAGTTATAGCGTTTGTATAGAGCGACTGTTGAAATTAAGCGTATCGGTAAAGTTGTATTCGGAAAGAATAAACCAGTTTTATTTAAGAAAGGGCTTGTGTCGCTAAAGTTTCGTCGGAACGAATTTACGGAATATTAATTAACGAACGAACGGAGACGTAACAATACGATACAAATACTTACGAAAGCTTCAGATTATGACTGGAAATTACTTTATTAAACTACTGTTTTATGATGAGACATTTATACACAGACACGTTGATATTATGTTAATACTTTTCCAAAAACACAAATATTAATCCTACAAAGACTAAAGTATTCGATCATAACAGAGGAACATTTATGGATAGTTCGTTTTAATTTCGCGCAAAGCCACTAGAGGGCTATCTGTATTAGCCGTCCCTAATTTTGAAGTGATAAACTAGAGCAGTTGTTCCCAAAACGGGGGACCTCCTAGCTGTACAACACGTTTATCGTACACGATATATTGGAATCATACAGAAACGTAGGTTGAACGGCTAAAAAACGTAGTGTGTGTGTGTGTTTGTACTGAATTCATATTTACAGTAGCACTGTAAGATACTATAGTGGCAGTAAATAAATTATCTTTAAAAAAAAGGCCCGCTTAATCATTTTAACGCTACTACTACTACTATCACTATATTAATCTTATTAACTGAACAGATTTTATGACTATTTTAAGAAATACTTATTGAAATAAAACATGAAAAAAATTCACAAGGGATTTATTTTCAATTCTTTGGTACAGAGAGAGAGAGCTCAATACAGTACGTAAATTAAAACACGAAGTTTACTTCTCAAACGTCTTTAACTTCAAGGCACTTTCACTACGAAACTCGCAGGCGTTTGATGAAAGTAACCATCGAGTTGTTAGTTATACCGTATTCCTTTAAAAGTTTAGTATCTTGGGTCAGCTTCTGGCCATTGAAATATAACCAGTAGGTTTTCCAAACGTATCTCCAACTAAGTGTTCGACTTATGCTCTCTCTTTTCTGAAAAAAATAATAACATTTATATATATATAGCTAACTGTAACACTTCTATAGTGTAGTTTTTTTTAGTAGAAATACCTAACACAGACAGACAGGCAGAAACATGGATACAGAGAAATCAGTTTTAAAACTGGTAAAGAAACTTAAAAATACAAAGAGAAAACGGATTCACTTTATACGTATTTATGTTTAAGTATAAAATAACATTGTAAAAAAAAAAATATATCTTGTCAATCATGCATTTACTACTGAACAGTGGAAAAGAAGTTATAATCATTCTTAGAACTCCAGCATTTATTACACAAAATACAAGCATTTTCACTTATATATATCTGCTAAGTACATCCAAATGTCCATAAGCAAGATTATCCTGTATACAATGATTCAAATATTTGATTACTTGTTTATATAGTAGGAGATATAATTGTTTTATTTTTTACTTATTCAAAATTAGGTAATCTTATAAGTTTTATCTAAGTTTTCTTCATTAATTTCAGTAAGTAATTTCTAAAGATTAATCTTATAAATATATAGCATTTAAAAATAATTCCATGATGTCAAGAAAAAACAACAACAAACAGATTTATCTAAGATATACTTTCTGATAAGATGATACAGCTTAATCACTCAAAGGAAGTGTGTACACCCAGAAACTTTTGAAAGGATATCAAATCTGCTATTTTTTACAGTACACAACGGATGCAACCAGTGTGTACACCCAGAAACTTTTGAAAGGATATCAAATCTGCTATTTTTTACAGTACACAACGGATGCAACCAGTGTGTACACCCAGAAACTTTTGAAAGGATATCAAATCTGCTATTTTTTACAGTACACAACGGATGCAAC